TCTCCATCATCCATCCATCGGCCCTGCCCACCCTCTCCACCATCCTCCCCTCCAGTCTTCCACTTCTGCCTCTGGAATGCCAGGGGCTGCACAAAGTGTCATCACACAAACAGAGAACCCACTGTATTCATCACTCAGAGAAGAAAATGGTTCAGTAGTTAGAAGAATAAAAACTGGTCCAATAGTTAGAATAATAATACATACACGGAAAACGGATTCCTTTTCGCAAGGGCTGAGGCAAAATGTTTCACTGCCAGCTACAAGGAGCAGTTTTAAAGAGCAAAGTGGTGGGTGCTACCCCTCCTCCAGGCAGGCCCGCACTACCGCATGCCGTGTGAGTGCTACCTGGCTCTCATAGGCTGTGGCCAGGGCCAGGGGCAAGGTGCACCAGGTGACCGCATTTTCCTCTCCAATTACCCAGAATGCCTGCTGCTGTGGTCCCCAGACCAGCAGAGTCAGCATCACCTGACACTTGTTAGGAAAAAACCTCTCAGGCCCCACCCAGACCTACGGAGTCAAACAGTGTGGGTTTGCACCAGCCAACTGATGCCCAGAATGACAGAATGTTAATCTTGCGTGACCAGAGGTCAAGGCCAATGCCTTACCTTTTGGTACATCTTGTGCTTGTACATGTGACGGATGGTTGCATTCAGGTCCTTCACGTGAAGCTGAAAGGTAAAAAGACTGAGATTCAGACACCTCCTGCTGATCCACCCAGTGAGGTTTCAGAAATCCTCCCTGTCTGGCCTGAGCTGTAAGCTGGGGGCACAGCACAGCCCCAGGGCTGCTGGTGCATTATTTGCAGATTTAAAAGGAGAGAGGTGTTCTTCACTCCTCAGAGCAGAACTACCACACAGCATTCCAATCATTACGGAAGTAGACGGCTGCATCTTCCTCCCATGAAGTAGCAAAGGGTTTTGAACTGCCAACCTTCCAATCAGCAGGTGAGTATTAATCACTGCACTGCCAAGTCTTTTTGAAAGAGCTACTTGAATGGGATCAAACCCACAACAACAACAACTCAAAAGGTTAGAGAAGAACCTTAGTGGACAATGAGTTCAAGTTCAAGGAACTCAGAAAAAGAAGGTAAGGATGGACAGCTGCACAACGCAAGGGGAGACCTCAACGTGGCTGACTGCATGTGCAGAAACTGCTGAGTCGGTGGACGCTTTGCTGTGTACATTTTCAACAACAAATGTAAGAAGCACAAGGTACTGGAAGAGATGGACACTGGGAAAAATCTGAAGCACTGACAGAGAGAGAAAATGTGTGTGTGTGTGTGTGTGTGTGTGTGTGCGCGCGCGAGACACACACAGACACTTTGGGGAAGATTTCAAACTGTGTGTGTGCATATATGTATATATATACATGTATATATACATGTATATGTATATGTATATGTATATGTATATGTATATGTATATGTATATGTATATGTATATGTGTATGTGTATGTATATGTATATGTATATATGTGTGTGTGTCCCCATCCCCGTTCCCATCACCCCTCCACCAGACTATGTGTCACACAGACAAAACAACTCTGGCAAGATTATTAGGAAGACAAACATTATTTCTGTCATCTCAACACAAAGTTTTGTTCTTTCTCAATTAAAATGTTAAGGAAAAACTCACATCATCATTGGGGAAAGCCAGTATTCCTGGAGCACCGTGATCTGTGAAGTACACGAACACGTGGTCACGGGGGCCACTGCCAAGAGAAGACAAGAGGCTGCTCAGAGGGGGACAGAGACTTGAGGATGACCACCACGGAGGACCTAGTTCCAGGGGGAGAGCCCCCCAGCCAGGGAAGCACCACCACCCTGGGGCCCGTACGGTCAACCCTGTTCCCAGTGTTGGTCTGAACCACGAGTGGATTCTGCGGTCTCTGAAATGGCAGGAAAGGCAGGTCTCTGCTGGACAGCCCACCTGACAGACTGCGTGACATGGACAAGGGACATCCAGGCAGACACACTATCAGAGCTCCCCAAAACAACCGAGGAAAGCCAGCATGTTAGTGTGTCTGACCCTGAACCCCTCAGCGGGCCCTGGAGTCTAAGTCTGCTCCTCAAAATGCTAAGGCGAGGAGGACACACAGCCAGCACAGTCCTGCAGATCCAGCTGGTCCTCAGTCTGACCACAAGTCGCCCTCACCAGGGCTTCCACCCAGAGCGGCTTCCACCCAGAGCGGCTTCCACCCTGAAGGGCTTCCACCCAGAGCGGCTTCCACCCAGAGCGGCTTCCACCCAG